TTTATTTTTATAAATTTTTATAAAAATTAATAATAAAAAAATATAATTAATACACCCCAAACAGTGAACAATTTGTCAAGTGGCAAAAGTTGCAGAGAGCGCTTTAACCATGCCCCACTGCTGCCTCATTCGAATATGTTTTCTGTCGCTACCAGTGAACCTTATTGGCTGCTAAATGCATTTAGTCTAATTTGGTTTGCTATTATAATTTAATTTGATCGATATGTCCTAGTAATCAAAAATATTAACCATTCAATCATTAAACCTAACAACACATTTTACAGTAGGATTTGATTTAAAGAGACTAACTCAACCATTGTTATGTTTAGGGCTGAAATTAATTGAATCTTAACCTTGATTTGTTTTCCATTTTTTCTTTATTTTTTTAATAAATCTTAACCTCGGTTAGTTTATATACTGAACTATATATTAATGAATCGATAATGAAGAGGGGTCTATTAAATATGTTTTAATAATTTTATATCTTGTATAAAACTTCTTTATCCAATCTTGACTAAAAAATAAAATTTTGTATAACCCGAGCACTTTTTTTTTTTTTTCTATAAAATAAATATTTAGTTTAGTTAATTGAATCTGCTTTATAACTTTTTTCTTTCAACTTTTTGAAAATATAACTTAAAGATTAATTTTAAATCAATATATTATTTTATTAATAATTAATTGATAATTATTAAGTGTTAAGAATAATCAAACATTAATATTTATTATTTTATAAATTATTAGCAGATACGCAACCTACCGAAACAAAGTGAGTCGAATATGGTACAAATTAAATGGCTCTTCTTAGTGTGGCGAAACGGTGCAAACACAGATAAAGTAAATAACAAGTCCGAACTCCACCATGCGGCCGATGGGCCGCGCACCTCAGGGGCAGGAGATTACTTATTTTGGGTTCAAATCTTTAGTTGCTAACAATTCATAACCTAATTATTAACTATTATATTAAAAAAAAAAAAGAAAAAGAAAAAAGAAGAAGTAAATAACAAGTCCGCAACAAACAATCAAGAGAGATTCCAATGCTCAACGTCGCCAAACACATTTTTTCATGTGGGCACAGAAAATCTCTGAAATGAAAATCCAGAGAATAAAACCATTTACTTTATTAGATTTGTAGGTTTTAGCCTCTCACCTTATATTATGACACTTTTAGCTCTTCATCTATTAGAATTAAAGAAAATAACCCTCACTTATAACATTTTGTTAGTTATGTTAACTGATTATTAACTCTATTAATTGACTATTAATTAACTGTTAGTTAATAAACATCTATTTTTAGTTAATAGAGTTAACAATCAGTTAACAAAACTATTATATTAACTGACTGTTATAACTAAGAATTAACAATAAGCTAACAGAGTTAACAATCAGTTAACAAAACTAATGAAATATTATAAAGTGAGAACTATTTTCTTTCATTCTAATAAGTGAGGGACTAAAAGTATCATAATATAAAATGAGAAATTAAAACATATAAATCTAGTAACATAAAGAGCTAAAAGTAGGTTTTTGGCTCTCTCATTTTGGTTTACGTAATTATAGAAGTGTCCTAAAAAAAATAAATTCCCTCATCTTTTGTCGTTCTCTCGTTTTGGGTTACCTAATTATAGAAATACCCTAAAAAACAAAAAATTAAGGGTTTGTTTTATATAAATGAATTTTACAATATATATATATATATGTAATTCATTTTTAATTCAACGTTCCTATGGTTGGAATGATTAAGATCCTTTTATTTCAAATTCAATGATTTATATTGTATTCCATTATGTTAAGACAAACTTAATTCTAATTCATTTGCATACCAAACACACCTTAAAAAGACAATAGTATTTATGGTTTAAAATACTTCATGACTTTCTTGAATATAAATTAAACATGCATTAATTATATATTTTTTTTCAAAATTGATATTAAAAAAAATAAAAACTGACTTCAATTTCATTAACCACCAATTAAAATTGAGCAGTATTATTGATGTTGAAAATGAAGATAGATTTTGTATTTTTTTATGCATAAATAAAGAAATAGTGCAATTAATTCATCCTTAATATATGTCCTAAAAGCACAAATTACATAAATTCACATTTCATTTACTCCTAATCATTCTACTCCCTCTCTCTTGATTTAATTAACTTTT